TCGTTGTCGACGAAATCACATAACATGACGATTGTATCAGATTCCTCTTGAAGCATCATCAACCTTAACACAATTGCCATAAGGTTTTTCAATTTTTCTTTTTGGCGTTTTAATCTTTAAACAAGTCTATAAAGGTTCACAGCCAACCAATTGACATATATTTGGTATCAAATAAAAGAGAAATACGCAAGGAATATTTTACTGGAAATAAATTGAAGAAGTATTAATTCTGAAGAAAGCTATGAAATATTTAACACGGAAAACCTCCCGCACTAGTGACCGGAGAATTCATTTGCATTGCAAGACGCGTAACTCTCCCCAAGATTTGTTGCCGATGAAATCTTTTAGGTCAAAAGTCAAAAATTCCAAAAAAAAAGGATGAAAACCTTGTCGCATATCCGCGCGAAAGTGCATTTTTTGATGAAAATTGATGTTATGCCTATCATTCGATAGAAAAGAGTGTTCTAAATCCGAATCTCAATATCATTTTTAAATTCCATCTACAGTTTTTTAGAAAGTGCGCTTTTTTCAAAAAGCGCAAAGAAGCCAAAACTTAAGTTCGTAAAACGGCCATAAAATCTTGCATCTTAAACCACTTTGTTTTTTTCAAATATTCTCAAAATAGACACTTTCAGCCTTCTTTCGATTATTGTAAGTTATATGAAATTTGTTAGAATTGCTCAAATTTTAGAAAGGGAAAAGTATGAAAATCTCAAAATGAAGACCAAGGTTTGAAGGCTTTTACTTTGAAAAAAGTCCACTATAGAAGAAATCTGTCTGATAATTTTCATTTTACAGTTAAAAATAATCAAGCTGCACAAAGTTATAACTTTTTTTCTTGTCCTACTCTGAAATAGGGCCCTGTTTTTTAAGGCATGCTTCAATTACCCTGAATGCCCTCAGAGTTAATGATATGCTCGTTTTTGAAATAAGAAGATGAAGCAAGAAACTAGCGGCTCATAAACAAAGCAAGTTAAGTAAGTTTATTTATTGAGTAGCCGACCAACCAAAAATCCACAATCGTCCCGTCAAGAGGCCCCTGAGTACAAATGAAACGTCTCTCGGAGCTCGGCGTTCCCACATAATTTGCATGAATATACTCAGATTGAGCGTCTTTATGAGTGATCACAACCCGATGAGCATCTCCACAAGTTTGACCACCAGAACTGAAAAAAATATGGGTCAATATCAAAGGAGATGAGACAGCTCAAAATCAAATGTGAAGATTTGCTTCTATGAAAGTTTAACCCGTTACATTTTTACTCAAAACTGTAAGCAAATATTAGTTTATGAGTTCGGTGATTGCCTGCTTTCGTGAGATCCATTTTGAAAAGCCCATTGCACTTTTTCGTTCTACCATTGTATCCATTCTACAATTGTATCTTTTCGTAACTCGTTGTTAACTTATCATAACACATAAGCCATCTATTTTACGAAAATACCGTAATCAAGCAGTCAGTTTTGACTCAATCAGTACAATCTGATACCATTGTTTAACCAGTTACATTTTTGCTCAAAAATTCTAAACAAATATTAGTTTATGAGTTCGGTGATTGCCTGTTTTCGTGAAATTGATTGATATGATTGAGTTCAATCTGAATATTTGAGTACGGTACTTTTTGGTGCTGCCTCTCAGGTGCCTTTTTGAAAGTGCAATACGCGAGATGTACACACTTTAATCACTTGCGCTGTAGCTCATTGGTAGAGCAATCACCCGGTATATGAAAGGTCACAGGTTCGAGCTTCGGCACATTCTTTCCTGATTCGTGAAACTAATCGTTAACTCAAATCACTCAAAAATCCCTCTCAATTTCATGGTTTTTGACATTTGAAAAAGCACGGTAGAATAGAAAGATTGTGAAATTTCTTTCGTAATCAAGAAAGACGAATGCGGAACTCAAATTTTGGTATTTTGGGGCTAACGGGGGCCAGACTCCACTTTTTCAGAATTGTCTATGCTGAACCGATTGGAAATAGTTTAGGGAAGTTTAGAATAACTTTTTTTATGTCACTTTCTCACATTAACCTTGTCACTGTGTAGAACAAAGCTACAGAGACATTACTTAATCAAATGATCCAGATGATATCCCAAAACACTTTCAAACTTTTCGAACGTGCTTTTAATTAATTTTGCTTAATTTATTACGTTGAAAAGTTCATATAAAGCCTAGAAAAGGTAGAATGAGAACTGATCAAAAAATGTCTGGTCAATGACTCCTCCAACCTGAAAAGTACCCAAATTTTAAACGTTAAACCAACCGGTTTCTACTCGCATTTGCCATGTAGGCGCGAGTTGAAGTCCCATCAGGTATCCAGTCGGAAAGCTGCTCAAATTCTTTTCGAAGCTCAGAAACTCCCATGTCTAGAGCATATTGCATCCATCCATCGAGCTAATTCGAAGTTTATGTAGCTCTTAAAAAAGCCTTACCACTTTTGCATTTCGAGGTGCCCAACAGCGAAGTGATTTCGTCACTTTCAACAACTTCAGCGTTTCCACAACGCCCAACTTTTTCAGTGTTTCATGTTGAATCTCTGCCGGGAGTCGGAGAGGAAACGAAGTTTGCTTGTTTCTACAGAGTTGCTAATGCACAAGTTCAAGTTTGAATCTTACCTGTCCTTTTTCTCCATCAACATCCTTATTTCCCGTTCATCCGGCAAATCTCTCTGTCTTGTTATTGGCTCAGAATAGTAAATATTTTCCTTTATTGAAGGGAACAAAGGTTCGTAGCACTGAAAACGTTTTCGAACCTTCTTTATGCCAATTTAACAAGTTACTCACACAACATCGTTGTCCCATACTTCGTGAGCAATAAAAACACGAGTAATAAGATTCCCAATAGAATAGGAGCTTAAAACTCAAGACAGCGAAGTGATTTCGTCACTTCTAACAATTTCAGCGTTTCAATAATGCCCAACTTTTTCAGTATTTCATGTTGGAGCTCTGCCGGAAGTCGGAGAGGAAACGAAGTTTGCTTGTTTCTACAGAGTTGCTAATGCGCAAGTTCAAGGTTGAATTTTACCTGTCCTTTTTTTCCATCAACATCTTTATTTCCTGTTCATCCGGCAAAACTCTCTGTCTTGTTATTGGCTCAGAATCGTAAATATTTTCTATTATTAAAGGAAACAGAGGTTCGTTCGGAAACAGAGGAAACTGAAAACGTTTTCGAACCTTCTTTATGCCAATTTAACAAGTTACTCACACAACATCGTTGTCCCATACTTCGTGAGCAATAAAAACACGAGTAATGATTCCCAATAGAATAGGAGCTTAAAACTCAATACAATTAGCAGACATTCAGCATAAATGCAAATCTCTATTGACTTTCCGCAGCTTGGGGCCATCATCAGACCCTTCAAAGATAGCCATAAGGGGAATATTGGTAAATATTTGAGTCCGATCAAAAATAAACATTCTGGGGCTTGGAAAGAAATAAACTAGGGACTAAACATAAGTTGACTTTTCAAAATTCACAATTATAAAATAAGCATAAATTTCCTTGACATTTTTAACTAAATAATATTTGTTGATTTGAAAAGTTTAAACTTTAACAACTCATTTGTTTTATTGAACATTAAAGCAACTTTGTCGATTCGATATATTCATTTCTAGATTACGAAAACCTAAAAGGAAAATATGCATATATCAGTGATAATTTCTAAAGCTTTTTTGATGAAAACGATCTATTTGATGAAAACGCTTTTCACATTTCACATTCACAAACAAAATTTGAAAAGTGGAAATGAACAAAGATGAGAGGTCAAGGGAACTGTTCTATTTTCGAATGTTCACTTTATCATCATTTGCTGCTGAAGTTGTGAAAAAGAATTTCTCTTGAATAGGTAACTTTGAGAGATTAACTTATCTTACAACTCGTAAGTTGTTTCGATTGAATTGGTAAATAAGTTCTCTCCGTTTTTTTGGGAGCAGCTCAAACTTAATTATTCCCAACGTGGTAGGGCTTATTCGAAAGCTGAAATCAAGAGAAACACAATTGTGGGTCTAGTAAAACCTTTAGCAAAACTTTTAAACTGAATGAATCAAAAAATGATTTTCACCATCGTATTTCCCTTGAATTCATATTGGGAATATGAAATGGCGGCGTCTTTGGACGAGCTTTTAAAAAAACAAAAAAAAAAAAAAGTTTTGTTGATTATACGCCAAAATTTGATCTCGACCTGATGCACAGTTTTTAAAAAATGAGAAAGGAGCACGGTTTAGAAAACATGATTTGAAAGATTTGATTTGAGAGGAACACACTCTAGGTTCGACTACCATTAAGTTTTTCTTTTGTTTGAACAGTTGTTATATACCCTAAACCCTTCTCTTCGTAATTGCTAAATATTCAAAAATTTTGTTCAAATCTTTCTTTCAAGTGTTCAACAACAAATAATATAAATATCAAAATAAACGAAAAATTTCACAAACAAGACAACAATCGCTGAAATGAGTAAAACATAGTCCAATATTACATTTAGCAAAACACATAAAAGCGTCTGAGCTGCAATTCATAGCTTTGCACATTCGATTGTCCATCTTGAAGTAAACGTCAACGGGTTTCTCAAATGGAATAAAGGGGGCATCAACGTACTGTTGTACTGAGGCTTATAGTGCGGCAATCCCCCTTCCCGACCCACCCAAAAGTGGGAAGTGGAAGGGACTCCCCTTCCCCTTCCAACTTTTCTTGTTTGAATTGTTCATTGCTTTGGTCTAACAAAATCCAGGTTACATCCGAGTCCAAGTCCTAAATCAAAGTCAGATTCAAGTCAAAAATAAAGATGTCGGTTTCCTGTTATTCTCGCTTTTCACTATTACACTGTTTGAAATATTGGTTTGGCCGGAAACTCTTGTCCTCTTTGAAATTTTCCTTTATAAATGAATAATTAGCCGATCAACGTATGGCTTGCTTTAAATAAAAAGGATTAACTATTACTTTTAGCTATTTTAGGCAAATTTGAGTCAGCTTTGAAGCAAATCCGAACGGGAATTCTTGTTTTTCCTAAAATCCTTGCAATGGACCTAGAATGAAAAAGGACTTGGTGAAATGTTATAAAAATTTACCTGCCTAACTTTTTATTCTCTATCTTCTTTGACACCAAAATAGGTTTCTGTGCTCAAAGCGAAGAGTTTCATCGTTTTTGACTGCTCCACTTCACACCTTTAAACAAATCAACTAACGCGAGTTTTTAAGAATTGGGAAACAAACTTGTAATTGTAGGGCAATTTGTAAATAAATAGAATTTCTGTTAAAAAAATCATAAATCAATTGGCTTATTATTGATTTCTAAAAAGTAACCTTTAAAAAAGCAGACCAGACTTTCCGATCAACCTGCTAGTATTTCTATTTCGATTAAGCAAACAGTAGTTTTGCTTTCGCAACGTATGAAAACTTTATTCATTTTGAACAAGTGCAAAGAGAGAAAAAAAACATGATCAGCGTGCACAAAAACGACTGTAAACCTACCAAAAAAGTTTCTATCATAAAATGCAAAGAGTCATAAATAGGCTGTGTACATCCCTCGAGTAATGCCTATTTCTAAAAGGTACCTATTTCACGAATATAAGCAACCAAGCAGTTTTGACCAAACACTTCAATTTGTGTCATGTGTCATTGTCTGAGCATATAAATTCCTCATTCATTGATACGAAAGTTGAGATGATTGAGTCAAAACTGATTGATTACGACAGTTGCGTAAAATGGGTACCTTTCAGAAAGTGCATTACTCGAAATGTACACACTCTATTCATAACACACAGATGACTTGCTATGAGAAAAATAAAATGTAATGTTTCCGTCAACATTCTAATATGTGTCAACAACACATCATTCTTGGTTTATAATGGGAAAATCTGTTCAGGCTGGCTTCAGGCTTCAAAAAAGCACGAACTCGTATCAAACCCTTGTAATCCTTGACGAATTTTTCATATTTTGCTCGATTTTTTTCTTGGTGAAAGACCTGAAATTTTGAGATTATTAATCTGCGTTTAGTATATTTAGGGTAGTTTTCTTTTTTTTTTCGTTTTCTCCTTGTAAACTGTTCTTCGCTCACCTGAAATTTTGCTTTTTGTCTGTCGAGAAAGTGATCGAAGATGACGCGATGAATGTAGAGATATTGCTGAAGATTCACTTAGGTTTTTTTAATGAAAAAATTCAATGTAATCAGAGTTTTTAATCAGATTAAGTCATTAAACAAATAAAATGAGCGCTGTTCACGCTTGAATTCTTATTAAGAAATCCTCAAAAGTTAGATGATTGGGTTAATAGAAACCTATAAACCAATTAACGTTTGGCTTTTAGATAAGTCAGATTTTAATTTAACAATAGACCAAAAAATGAAAAACAGCTCGAAATTGAAACCTCGCAAGATTTTTGAAAACTTCTATCTAACCCAACTAACCAAATCGAAGAGAATCGACCACAGCCGGTATGATCGAAGTTCTTTCATTAGATGACACATTGGAGGGATTCCTGTTTTCAGGTTGCTGCATTCCAATAAATATCTAAAAGTGAAATGATAAATTCATGCGCTGATCTAATACTTTCACTCACTCGATAGCCACCAAAATCGACGTTCTTCCCGTCCCACCACCACAATGCATCACGATTGGTTTTTGTGAACCGCGGATTTGGGCAAGTAGTTTCTGAATCACTCAAAAGCTTTACACAGATTAGGTAGATAAAGCGCTTTTTAGTCTTTTTTAGCAATCAATCATCAATAAATACCTTTGAATCACAGCAAGCCATTTTGGAAAAAAAAATATACCTTTCTTACAATAGAAAATAGACTTCCATCACGAGACCGATCAGAAAATCGGGTCACGCAACTCCAGGCACTTGATCTAGCCTCCAGCGTATCGGATTCCAATAAACTTATGTTTATTTAAAAACCAAGATTTTAAGCTATCTAATGATATTCATTACTAATGTTTTTCCCCTCCAAAAATTGGGTTAATAACCTTAATGAGACTTAACCGACAAGTGCTCGTTATCCGTTAAGTCTCAGAAGGTTTTTGACCCACTTTTTCAAAAGAAAAACATTAGTAATGAATATCATCAGATAGCTTAAAATTCTGGCTTTCTATAAAAAAGGAAAATTGGAACCGATATTCGGAGGCTAGATCAAACGCCGGAAGTTGCGCGACCAATTTATCTCGTTAATTCTCGTTTAGCAAGTCTGGTAGAAACTATGAATCGTAAAAATGTCAGGTTCAAAAATAAAAATAGCTTTAATTTAACATCCATGTTATCAACAAAGTTATTTAATTTGTTAAAAACTCACGATTGGAGTTCGCAAACAGCTCGGAACTTCCCCTTCTCGCCAACCTTCCCACATAAAGTGTCGGATCTGAAAGAAATCTTTAAGCTAAATGCCGAAAAATACCATTCGATGCTCCTTTTTTCCATCGTTGTTATATATCATTTTAAAAGTCGCAACTTTTAGCCATGACATTTCGTCGACTATTTGATGATGAGCCTGAAGAGTTAGTCAATGCATCGAGCTAATCTTGAACTAACCTCAACATTTGTGATTTCAAGCTTTTCAGTGATCCTCATTGTCTGGTTTTCATTTCTTGGAAAATACTAAAATGATGAGTTTGAAGTTCCGATCACACACCAAACCTGAGCACATTTTGTGTAACCCTCGTTGTCGACGAAATCACATAACATGACGATTGTATCAGATTCCTCTTGAAGCATCATCAACCTTAACACAATTGCCATAAGGTTTTTCAATTTTTCTTTTTGGCGTTTTAATCTTTAAACAAGTCTATAAAGGTTCACAGCCAACCAATTCACACCTACTTTTCACAAAATTGGTTGCCGATCAACTGTTTTAGATTAAAGGTCAAAAATCCAAGAAAAGGATGAAAATCGTGTCGCAGGTTTTAGGTCAAAGGTCAAAAGTTCAAAAAAAAAGAATGAAAAACTTGTCGCACATCCGCGCGAAAGTGCATTTTCTGATGAAAATTGATGTTATACCTATCATTCGATAGAAAAAAGTGTTTTATTAGATTGGTGAATTGAAAACTGCGGGCTATTTCGCGGGACTCGCAGATGAAGAAAACAACAGCATTGAACCAGCGGAAAGGGGGTTTGTTTACTTCAACATTTCCTCTAATTATTGCGAAAAAATTATGCTTCCAGCATTTTATTTTTTGGTATTTTTCTTCACTTCTTCTATTGCACGTGACGATCTGCCACCGGGACACATTCGCCATGTCATGCTTCATGAGTTCCTACAAGAGCACAGTGCCGGTTTGGCAGCTGCTAATATTAAATAGATATATGGGGAAGACCACCAGAGGTGGCAGCGCGCCTCGATCAGTGCCGTCCATCTCTCACGATACCAAAGAAATCTTTTCTTCCTCGAATTGTGACAGGAGATGAGAAATGGGTTTTATCTGTGAACTTTCGGAGGAAGCGGCAATGAGTGGGTCCAGGCGAGAAACCTGAAAGTGACCCTAAGTCCGATTTGCACCAGAAGAAGTTTATGCTCTGCGTTTTCTGGGATATGGAGGGAGTGGTGCACTGGGAGTTGATGTATAGCAAGAAGACCCTTAATGCAATCAAATACAGTGAACAGTTGGAGAAAGTGAATGAATCCCTAAAGAAGAATAGGCGCTCCAAGTCAAAGATCGTTCTCATGTTGCCAAACTGACTCGCTCTAAAACCTGTAGCCTTTTTTGGAAACATTTGTCGCATCCCCATACAGTCCGGACCTCGCCCCTTTTGATTACTATTTATTCCGGATCATGAGTAATGAGCTCGCGGGAGAACACTTCGATTCGGAAGAAGCAGTTAAAAATTGGCTTTGAAAGTTTTTCGATTCAAAACCAAAATCCCACCACGAAAGAGGAATCAAATTGCGAGTAAAATGGGCAGAAGTCGTCAATAATAATGGAAATTATTTGGAATGAATTTGTGGTTTTATGTTGAATAAATTTTAGTTCAAAGTCCGTCAGTTTTCAATTCAGCAATCCAATAAATCCTAACATCGACATCATTTTTAAATTCCATCAACAGCTTTTTAGAAAGTGGGAATTAAAAATAATCATTCTGCGCAAAGTTATAACTTTTTTTCTTGTTCTACTCAGAAACAGGGTTTGTTTTCTAAGGCACGCTTCAATTGCCGTACCCATGAGTGCCCTGAGAGTTAATTATATGCTCGTTTTTGAAATAAGAAGAAGAAATAAGAAACTAGCTTATAGGCAAGGCAAGTTATGTAAGCTTAATAATTGAGTAGCCGACCAACCAAAAATCGGCAATCGTTTCGTCAAGAGGCCCCTGTGTACAAATGAAACGTCTCTCGGAGCTCGGTGTTGCCACATAATTTGCATGAATATACTCAGATTGAGCGTCTTTATGAGTGATCACAACCCGATGAGCATCTCCACAAGTTTGACCACCAGGGCTGAAAAAAGTATGGATTAATATCAAAGGAGATGAAATTGTTCAAAAGCAAATGCAAAGGTTTACTTCTATAAAAGTTTAACCAGTTACATTTTTTATACATCTCGCTTATAGAGTGTGTACATCTCGGGCACTTTCAAAAAGGCACCTATTTTACGAAAATACCGTAATCAAGCAGTCAGTCTTGACTCAATCAGTACAATTTTGATACCATTGGCATTGCAATTCCTTCTCAATTTACATTAAAATTGATCTGATTGAGTTCAATCCGACTATTTGAGTACGGCCTGGTCCGGTCGATGACTGGTAAAATGTCTAGTCAATGACTCCTCCAACCCGAAAAGTACCCGAATTTTAAACCTTAAACCAACCGGTTTCTACTCGCATTTGCCATGTAGGCGCGAGTTGAAGTCCCATCAGGTATCCAGTCGGAAAGCTGCTCAAATTCTTTTCGAAGCCCAGAAACTCCCCTGTCTAGAGCATCTTGCATCCATCCATCGTGCTAATCGAGGTTTATGTAGCTCTTAAAAAAAACCTTACCATTTTTGCATTTCGAAGTGCCCAACAGCGAAGTGATTTCGTCACTTTCAACAACTTCAGCGTTTCCACAACGCCCAACTTTTTCAGTGTTTCATCTTGAATCTCTGCCGGGAGTCGGAGAGGAAACAAAGTTTGCTTGTTTCTACAGAGTTGCTAATGCACAAGTTCAAGTTTGAATCTTACCTGTCCTCTTTCTTCATCTCCATCAAGTTGTTCCATACTTCGTGTTGTTCCATACTTCGTGAGCAAAAAAACACGAGCAATAAGATTCCCAATAGAATATGAGCTTAAAATTCAAGGCAATTAGCAGAAATCCAGCATAAATACGAATCTCTATTGACTTTCCACAGTTTGGGGTCATCATCAGACCCTTTAAAGATAGCCATAAGGGGGATATTGGTAAATATTTGAGCCCGATCAAAAATAAACATTCTGGTCTTTGCGGCAATCACCCTTCTCGACCCACCCAAAAGTGGCAAGGGCAAGCCCCCCCCCCCCCCCCTTCCCCTACCCACTTGAGTCACAAAGATGAATAAGTCATTTCCCCTGGACAAATTGATTGATAAGCTGATTGATAAGGATTGATAAGCTTTTTAAGGCCCTCACCTAATAGAATTTGTTCTGTACAGTGCGTTGCAAAATGACAGGGCCACCCTCGGTTTTTGCGATTTTTTGATTTTAAATAACTAAAAATGCAGAACGATGCTTAAATTCGAATTTCTTATCAAAAAGTATTTATACAGCCCAATCAACCCAACAAAAACGTGGCCAAAAACGGCAATGTCGCCTCGGTGTTCTCACGAGATAAAGGAAAACGAGTTCCATCGACCGGTCCCCGAGACGCTGTCATTTGTGGCTGTTTTCTAACGAAAAAATTTATCTAAGAGAAAAATTTCGGGAATTTAATACATTAGAATGTAGTATTTTGTCTGTTACGAAAAATGATGATGACACCAAAGTGCTTAGACAATGTTAACCTAATCAAAAATTGAGCCGTGTGCAGAAAAGTGGTTCTTTTCTGTGAAATCTTATTTAATGTTTTGATTTCAATGTCTGGTTTTCTTGTCCCGCCTCTGAAAGATTGCTTTTAAGATAAAGGGACGGATAAAAGGGTCGGAGCCCACTTTACAGGGGCACTTTTCATATTCTCTCCGTATTCCTTTCGTATTCCTTTTGTATTGCGCTCTTAAATAAAAAAAGAAAATTGGAATCCGATACTCCGAGGCTAGGTCAAACGCCGGAAGTTGCGCGACCCATTTATCTCGTTAATTCTCGTTTAGGAAGTCTGATAGAAATCATGAATCGTAAAAATGTCAGGTTCAAAAATAAAAATAGCTTTAATTTAACATCCATGTTATCAACAAAGTTATTTAATTTGTTAAAAACTCACGATTGGAGTTCGCAAACAGCTCGGAACTTCCCCTTCTCGCCAACCTTCCCACATAAAGTGTCGGATCTGAAAGAAATCTTTAAGCTAAATAACGAAAAATACCATTCGATGCTCCTTTTTTCCATCGTTGTTATATATCATTTTAAAAGTCGCAACTTTTAGCCATGACATTTCGTCGATGATTTGATGATGAGTCTGGAGAGTTAGTCAATGCATCGAGCTAATCTTGAACTAACCTCAACATTTGTGATTTCAAGCTTTTCAGTGATCCTCATTGTCTGGTTTTCATTTCTTGGAAAATACTAAATTGATGAGTTTGAAGTTCCGATCACACACCAAACCTGAGCACATTTTGTGTAACCCTCGTTGTCGACGAAATCACATAACATGACGATTGTATCAGATTCCTCTTGAAGCATCATCAACCTTAACCCACTTGCCACAAGGTTCTTCAATTTTTTTCTTGGCTTTTTGATCTTTAAACAAGTCTACAAAAGTTCACAGCCAACCAATTCACACCTACTTTTCACAAAATTGGTTGCCGATCAACTGTTTTAGATGAAAGGGCAATAATCCAAAAAAGGATGAAAACCGTGTCGCACCGTGAAATATTTAACACGGGAAATCTCCCGCACTAGTGACCGGAGAATTCATTTGCATTCAAAGACGCGTAACTCTCCATAAGATTTGTTGCCGATGAACTCTTTTAGCTCAAAGGTCAAAAGTTCAAAAAAAAAGAATGAAAAACTTGTCGCACATCCGCGCGAAAGTGCATTTTCTGATGCAAATTGATGTTATGCCTATCATTCGATAGAAAAAAGTGTTTTAAATCCGAATCTCAATATCATTTTTAAATTCCCTCGACAGTTTTTTAGAAAGTGGGCTTTTTCAAAAAACGCAAAAAAGCCAAAACTGAAGTTCGCAAAACGGTCATAAAATCTTGTTCCTTAGACCAATTTGCTTACTTTTCAAATTTTCTAAAAGACATTTTGATCTTTCTTTCGATTATTGTAAGTAGAAGAAATTTGTCAGAATTACTTAAATTTTAGAAGGGGAAAAGCATGAAAATCTCAAAATCAAGACCAAGGTTTGAAGGCTTTTACTTTGAAAACAAGTGGACTATAGAAGATAATCCGTCTGACAATTTTTATTTTACAATCTTTTCTAAACATTTTAGTTCAAAAAGTAATTAAAAATAATCATTCTGCGCAAAGTTATAACTTTTTTTCTTGTCCTACTCTGAAATAGGGTCGTGTTTTTTAAGGCATGCTTCAATTACCCTGAATGCCTTCAGAGTTAATTATTAGGTTGGTGCAAAAGAAATTTCGGTCGATATAAAATGTTCTTATTTTTTTAATCTGAAGAGCTTATTTGATGTTCTTTTGTGCATTTGTACTCTTGGATATTTACTTTATTTTCGCATTTTTTCAAAGTCAGAGCTTTCACTTTTTAATTAATTTTTGCTTTAGATCATGGTGGATCAAAAGTATGTTCTGCGCACGTGTCTTCTCTATGACTTCAAAATGGGCAAAAACGCTGCTGATTCACATCGTGATCTCTGTTCCGCCTTTGGAGAACAGGTTATCACCGAAAGATCATGCCAGCTCTGGTTTGCCCAATTCCGAGATGGTAATGAATCCCTTGAAGACGAATCGCATGGACATCGTGCCACAGCCATCGACAACAATGAATTGAAGCTGATCCAATGCAAACAACACGAGAACTTGCCAAACATCTCCAATTCAACAATTGTACGCCATTTGGAAATAATTGGAAAGACAAATCGTAATGGACAATGGGTTCCACATCAATTGAGTGTTGAGAAGCTGGATCAGCCATATCTTGCTCCATAAGTCGAAAAGAAGCCATTTTTTTGAGAATATCTTGACGATGGATGAGAAGTGGATTCACTTTGATAATACTTCTCGAAAAAGGCAATGGCTGAGCAAAGGTCAAGCGCCAATTCCAACTCCAAAGCCGGATTATCATGGGCGCAAAGTGATGTTGTCTTGCTGGTGGAATATCAATGGACTTGTTCATTTTGAATTATTAGAGCCCGGAAAAACAGTCGATTCATCTTATTTTATTCAACAACTCAAGAAGGTTGACGAAATTTTGCGTGAAAAAGGCCTAAATCCCTCAACTATCAACTTTCTCCGTGATAATGCTCCAGCTCACACGGTAAAAACCTCTTGTAAGGAACTAGGATGGAAGGTCTTACCACATGCGCCGTATAGTCCAGACTTAGCACCCTCCGATTTTCACCTTTTCAGATCGATGCAACATTCCCTTGAGAATTGCCAGTTTAAGAATGCAAAAGAAGTCGAAAATTGGGTGACCAACTACTTTGCATCACAGAATCAAGCGTTCTTTGAGAAGGGGATCCGCAATCTGTAGCAACGTTGGAGGGATGTCATAGATAATAATGGTGCTTATTGTTTTAAATAAATTGTTATCAAAAAAAATTTTAGATGACTTTAATGTTTGTAAAAAAACGAAATTTCATTTGCACCAACTTAGTATATGCTCGTTTTTGAAATAAGAAAGGGAAACAAGAAACTAGCGGCTCATAAACAAAGCAAGTTAAGTAAGTTTATTTATTGAGTGGCCGACCAACCAAAAATCGGCAATCGTTCCGTCAAGAGGCCCCTGAGTACAAATGAAACGTCTCTCGGAGCTCGGCGTTCTCACATAATTTGCATGAATATACTCAGATTGAGCGTCTTTATGAGTGATCACAACCCGATGGGCATCTCCACAAGTTTGACCACCAGGGCTGAAAAAACTATGGGTCAATATCAAAGGAGATGAGACAGCTCAAAATCTCAAATGTGAAGGTTTACTTCTCTAAAAGTTTAACCAGTTAAATTTTTACTCAAAAACTGTAAGCAAATATTAGTTTATGAGTTCGGTGATTGCCTGCTTTCGTGAGATCAGTTTTGAAAAGCCCATTGTCATTGTATCTATTGCATATTTTCGTAACTTCTTGTTAACTTATCATAAGACATAAGCCCTATCCTCGGGATCCGGGCATCAGGATCACTTGTAAAGTGTGTACATCTCGTCTCGTGTGTAACACTTTCTAAAAGGCACCTACTTTACCAAAATGCCTTAATCAAGCAGTTAGTTTTGACTCCATCAGTTCAATTTTGATACAATTGGCATTGCAATTCCTTCTCAATTTAAATTAAAATCGATTTGATTGAGTTAAATCTGACTATTTAAGTACGGTACTTCTACGGGCTGCCTCTTAGGTGCCTTTTTGAAAGTGCAATACGTGAGATGTACACACTTTAACCACTTGCGCTGTAGCTCATTACTCGTTGACTCGAATCACTCAAGAATCCTTCTCAACTTCATGGTTTTTGACTTTTTGAAAAAAAACGGTATTAGGTACTTGCAAAAGAAACTGCGGATTACAACTAACATTCGGACAAACCAAAGAACTTTATCCCAAAGAACTTTATTCCCAAAGAACCAAAGAAGAAAACAACTTTATCCCAAAAGATATTCGCCATTATTATCAACTATTTTCTTCCATTTTTTGTGTAGACTTCGGATGTCTGATTCGAAAAATTCAGGGTCCCGCGACACAAAGTAGTTTTGCACCCAAATTTCGACTTCTTCAAGATTGTTAAACTTTAGATTTGCAAGAGAATGTTGCATAGACAGGAACAAGTTATATCAGGCGAATAGAGCGAACGAGCGATATCAGGCGAATAGGGCGGATGAGGCACAAGTTTCCAGCCTAATTCTTCTATGGTGTTTTGAGCCAAGTTTGATGTGTGTACCCGAACATTGTGAGCGAGTAAATGTATTGTCCTTGGATTAACACCTCCTCTTTCT